TTTTGAACAAACAAAAAAAATATGTGACATTTTGGTTGCTCCATAAAATGTGGGTAAGTGTTTTTAAAAAATTTACAAATACTAGATATAATATATACTGAACTAGGGCCGGTTGTGCGTGCACAGCCGAGTCCAATCTAGTATATATATATATATGTATATGTATATATAGACGAATATGTAAAAAAATGTCTAAAAAATTTGTTTAAAGTATCTAAATATAAGCCTAATTTAATAAAGGCATTATGTCAGATGATACTTCCATCTAAAAAAATTTGATTAGAGACAATTTCAAAATTATTATTATGCTTTTTACGTTTTTATCGAGGATGTATTGTCAGCTTATAATATTTATAAAAATATTAGTAATTAGACGGATGAAAATTAGGAAGGTTATATTTTATTTTTTTCTTTAAGATAAGGGGTAGATTTTGGGTCGTATTTTATTTTTTAAAATCTTATAGATTTTTTAAACTGTGAGACGTATACAATGGTATTTTGTTTAAATCAAATTTAAATGTAGCAATGATCATTTTGTTTAAATCGGATTTAAATGTTTCGATTTTTCTGCCTAAAAACAGGGAAAAAAAACAAATCTGTACTATCAAACAACAGTTTTGACGGTTAAAAGAAAAACAAATCTATACACAATTAATGAGCCCATTTTTTTTGTCTATACAGAGTTTTTCAACAATTATTATATGTAGGATATATTTATATATGTAGAATATATCTATTACTATATAAAAGAGCTAAGGAAAAATACATAATTAGTAAGTCATTTTCCCGCTTATTTTTTCCGTTTTATGCTATTTGTGGTAACTTTTTTTCAGAAATTTTGAATTCTCTCGCCTGTGATGTTTTTTGAAAATTTTGAAAAAAAAAATAAATTCAAAAATCTAAATAAAAAGATCACATGAAATTTTTTTTGGAAATTTCATATTATCTAACTTTCATACAATAAGAATGAGACACTTGTCCCATTTTCATATTTTATATGATAAGATAAATATAACTCAAATTATTGATATTATTTATATTAAAAATAAAATAAAAATATCAAAAATCGTATTTTTTCATACTCTATAAATAGAGACCACTCTTGATATGTTTTGGAACACAATTGAAATTATTATATTAGGTTAGGTTGTAGATAAAATAATACCAAAAAATATATTGTAGATAATATTTATTAAAAAATAAATAAAAATAAAATAAATAACATACTATCTTTATTGAGTCACCAACTAAAAAATAATAAAAAATAAAAAATAGCAAAATTCGCGACTCAGGTCAACATGTGATCTTGGGTCGCAACCTAGCCACAAGGAGGGAGAGAGAAATGAGGTGGGTGGAATGAGAAAGTGTCCCATTCTTATTGGTCTATAATTTTTTTTAATAAGATAATTGTAACTCAAATTATTGATATTAATTTATATGAAAAAAATAAATAAAAAATTTATTTTTTCATTCTCTATCAATAGAGACCACTCTTGATATATTTTGGAACATAATTGCAATTTCTCTCTTTCCACTCTTTTTTATTAATCGTAACTTATCAATTTTATCATATCTTTTATTTTATCATATCACAACTAAAACAATAACAAAAAAATTACTGTAGATAATATTTAATAATAAATAAATAAAAATAAAATAAATGTTATGTTGGGTTGAGTTAGATTGTGTAGGTGGAAGAGAGAGAAATAATTTTGTATTATTGGGTTGAGTTGAGTTGAGTTGGGTTGTGGATATATATATATGTAGATTGTTAAAAGTTGGGTTGTATAAGTGGAAGAGAGGGAAATAATTTTTTATTAATGAGTTTGGTTGAATTGAGTTGTGGATAAAAGTTGGGTAAGAAGAAATCATATTTTTTTTTCACTAGTATGTAACCCCGTGCGATGCATGGGCTATATTTGTTTTGGTAAAATTTATAATTAAAGGCTAATATTAATCAATAAGTTATAATATCGTAGGGCATTTGTCAGGTAATCAGAAAATATTCATCATGAAAAAGTCATACATTGTTAAAATCCTTCTTGTTTTTTCATTCAAATTATTTTGCACTTGACAACTGTAGATCAATATTTATAGTAATTGCTAATTGCATTGACACCTCATTTCTCTAATTATTTGTTGATTTTCGAATTGTAACACCACGAAATAAAATTATAATATAATATTATTATAAAACTCTGGGAATTTAATGAGAGTAGGACTTTCACGATTAATTATTTGTGCTAACAATATTTATATCTACCATGTAAAATTTATAATTTTGTAAATTATTGTGCAATATTTATAAATATTACACGTAAATATTTATAAATATAAATATTTCACGTATCCGTGAAGTAAAGATTATATTAGTAAAGATTACAAATATATACGTGTGAAATATTTTTTTCTTAAACGTTTCCTAAATAAATATAAGATTATTTTATGTGTAAATAAATATGAATATTTTACCGTAGCACCATTTGCACATGTAATTTTCTACCCGTAAAATATATACTAATTATAACTTATGAATATGAAATTATATTCAATTATGTATTGACTTGTGATAATATGGATTTGTGATTATCTATTTCATCTTAACAGTTTCATTTTTAACATCAATCGGAAATGTGATTTTTAAAATTATTTTGTTTTATTATACAATAGTTTAGTTTTTCAAATCATAATATGAATAGCAAGCAGTTTTCCAAATGATAATATGAATAGCATACCATGTAAATAAAATTTTGATAACAAAAATCGCTATGACATAAAAAAAAGGATTAGATATCTAATTTTTTTCCAAAAGCAATTAATTAAAAATTCAATATGGTTCTCGAAAATCATTTAAAAACTTTAACCAAAAATAAAAAGTTAATCTCATTTTGAAATGTAATCAACGAATCAGCTAACTAATTTAGCTTAATCTTTTTTTTGGCAGACTCCTTAATAAACGCAGGATATGCGGCATTCAAAAGAGATTTATATCCAGCCACAAAAAGAGGAGATTTATTTGGATTTTGATTCCATAATTTTTATTGTATTCCTAAAAAAAAAAATCAGAAAAACAGATATGTTAATAAATAGCGATTTTGTTACTTTACTATGTTTAGGCAATAATTAATGAAATTGGCGTGAAAATTTTTCTAAAAGTGAATTATGTTAATCTTTATTATATATTAATAGATGTGTTTTGGACATGAATTAGACTTCTAGGGTTCTCATTAGTTATATTTTTGGAGATTTTTTTTTTTTCACTTTTGTGTTTATTGCATGCTAATTACAATATTTATCAAGCTTTTTAAATATTTGAATAATCTTTATTTAAACCAAATAACGTGTTTTCAATTTTAAAAATTTTCGTTCATCCCACCTAAAGCAAGTTTTTTGAAATTGCAATATGAAATTGCTTAAAAGAAATATTGGATGGTTTTGATTTGTTAAAGAAAAAAAAAATTAGCTCTACTTTAAAGTTTGGATTCATTCCATTACTTTATGTACATTAACAATCATAGATTAGTTAATTGATTAAAAAAAAAATCAAAATAAAAAGGTCCAATAATATTCGTTAAATATAATATATTGCATAAAGAGAAGTGTTTAAACGCCTAAAAGCATTCGATCTAGTTCAAGACTTTCCGATGGGGTGGTACTAACCAGTGTTCTGAAAACCGGACCGGACCGGCCGGTCCGACCGGTTCAACCGGGAACCGGCCAGTTCACCGGTTCGGTTCTCTCCAACGAACCGGTTGTCAGCAAAACCAGTCAAATTTTGGTCAGCGGGCGGTTCAACCGGTCAAAACCGGACAAAACCGGATATGAACTGCCTGGTCCAACCGGTCAGTTTTTATTTTTTAAGAGGGGTGTTGTTAAATACCGCCCATTTTTTAATTATTACCGCGCCCCAAAAAGACAGTTTTACCCATTTTAATATAAAAATAATTTTTTTTTTTTTTTGGGGCTGACCGGCCTTGAATGCCGGCCTTCTTTTTGCCGGTAGGCCGGCCCATGCACGGCCGGTTTTGCCGGTAGGCCGGCCCATGCACGGCCGGTTTTGCCGGTTGGCCGGCCCATGCACGGCCGGTTTTGCCGGCCGGCCGGCCAATTATTATTTTTTTTT